GTAGTGGTAGTGGTGTAGTGGTGTAGTGGTACTTGTGTAGTCGTGTAGTGGTAGTGGTTTAGCCGCCAGTATCATGGTTCATTGATTATGAGAATCTCTGTGCTCATAAGTATAGCATGTCACACTATGCGAGCATGAAGTTTAGATGGTGATAACGAGTGTTGTCGCGGTCACTGGATCTGGAACATTCCAGTGTATCAAGCGAGTGTAAAAAAGTTAAGAACAGAAGGTATCTCACACAAGCAAGATGTATAATGGTATGCGTGCCCGGCCAACACCGCATGAGGGACATCAATAACAAAACGATCTGTCGCTGCAAGTGACAGTGATGCTGACACTGTAGATTCAAAAGCCGAATCAAGTTATCCCGAACAAGGACACAAAAGTGTACGGGCTATAAAGATGTGATGAGTTCAACTTGTCAATCTACACCTAGTAAACTCTGCACGGAAGGGTTGGCCCATTTTCGCAATGGTAATACTACTTCCGGGCGTTCAGTTGGAGAAGTGGTTGCTTTTATACGTGTCTCGTAAACGGAAGTCGTGGTAATACATGAGGAAGTGACGTGGTGGGGATACACGATGGCAGTGGTAAATGGTGGGTGGGTGGTTTTACTGCCCCAAATGAGCAACAGTTAACTTGCTAGCCGAAAGAGAGCTAAGGCTAAGAGGGGGACGAGAAAGGGTATCTTGTCAAACATAAGAGAAGGGCTGGGCGGCTGGGCTATGGGAACAGGATTTTTCACTCTTGCGATTGAAAAAGGTCGTAAGGGCTCCGTCAAATGCCGAAGCTCAATCAACAGCTTCAACACGTCACCACCGTCGACTTGAGAGGTTTCTGAGAGTCTGTCACTTCGCGGTTGTAGAAGATTGTGGAAGCCCATAAACCCCCAAACCCCAAACTTCTCATATCACGAGAGTCAAGATCTTAGTGCCATGAAATCCAAATTTGCTGTATGTAGAGGCTGCCCAAGCAATACATGTCCCTCATTCCCTCTGAGCCCCAAATTCTACAAAGAGTTGTTGTGCAAGCCAGGCCAAAAATACCTTGGAGAGGTCTGCAGAAGTTGCCGCCGTCGCGCAGCCCTGTTACCAGGGTGTACCAGTTTCTCGGCCCCACACCACTTCCCGATTTTGCAGCCCTGTTACGAAAGTAGCACTTTCGGTTTCAGGTTGTTGAGTTCAAGGCTTTCTGTTTGTGGTGGCTGAGGCGGTGTCAGGGCTCTTGTGTTGGTGATTCTGGGGGACGTCTTGAGCAAGATAGCAACAATGGACACTGTAGTGGTGCATGATAGCGGTGGTAAAGGAGGATCTCTAGCAGAGCAAGCATTGTGGGACGTGTAGTAGTCAATACCTAAGGTCTCGGAGAGCACTGTGCGGAAGGGCACTAATCCTCAGCAGAAACCCTCAACCCTGAACCGTCAACTGCGCGGGCCCAGCTAATGCCAATCATCATCTGAGTGGCAGACGAGGGCAATGAGATGCAACAGTTTATCAGGACGTTTGGGTGTATCAAGAGGTTGTGGGGGTTTGTAGGGGTTTTGGCCTTCGTCTCTCTCTCTCTCTCTCTCTCTCTCTCGCTCTCCCACTCCCACTCTCTCTCTCTCTCTCTGTCTCTCTACGTCTCTGAATCTACGTCTGCATCCTGAATTTTGACATCTCAACTAAGGGCTAAACATTACAGGCGAGAATGGTCAGACTCAGGTGCTTGCGGAGTTTACAATCCTTCATGGTTTCAGAAGGTTGATCCTCCAACTCCTCCTCCGTTTTCGTTTCTCAGCATTTCACTGACGGGCCCCCAGCATGGGGCCTTTTCGTAAATTCTATTGGATGACCAGATCCGGCAATGTGGAGATCCAACCTTCATGTGACCAAACACAGACTTTTGCTGCATGCGCTAGAGGCCCAAGGTTTCGGAACTGTCATGCCCGCTTATCACGTGGCAGATGTTGGCGGCAAACAGTGGCGTTTGGATCTGCCCCACGTGCGCATCTCAATAGTGGACCAGCTCTTCCCCCGCCTTTTTGGCCCCGTCGGGGCGTCTTGTTGGGTGATCACTCACAAACTGCCACGTTCGGTATCATGTCGGTCATTCCGGCAGCAAGGGTGTTCGTACTTGCCGCTTGTTGCATTTTGGTTGACACAAAGGGCTGGATTCGGATCAAAGAGTCGTGGGTGTCTAATGAGTACCGACGATATTCTTCATAACTAACTACGTCATCATAGTAATGGTAATCGCCAGTAGGTATGAGTGATAAGTAGTTTGGTTATCCTCAACCACTAGTGGAACACAACAGCACTCTGACTGCGGGCGATACCCCAGTTATGATGCTGGTGACCTGCTTTGAAGACACCTGAACCTTGAACCCTGCAGAACCTTGCACCGTGAACCCCGATGAACCTAAGAGCTCAACCAATTCATTCTCAATCTAAAGAAACCATTAATTTTGAGCACGAGCCTAAACTCGGTAAACTCAAAGGCAGCTGATCTGAGGGTCTCATAAGGGAAGATATGAGGAGTTAAGATTATAGCTCACATCGGCCTCATACTCCAAGTATCCATTTCATTTCCAGTGTCTCTTCTTTCCAGTCCAAATTGAGAAGGGGTCTACAAGGAGCTGAGACCCTAAACCCTACAGCTATGAACGGGGACATACGGTGTTTGGATTATTGAGAAAAATCGCGATCGCCGGAGCTTAGGCGCGAGCTTGCGCTGCAGAAGCATGACTTGGCCAGGAGCTCAGGGATTAGGCACTGCCTATGGCCTTTTAGTCTAAACTCCGAATGAATATCCCTCGGCTCTATAGGCGGCTGAAATGCATTCTTCTGTAGTCATTGCTTTCCTGTTGCTGTGTTGCTTCAATTCTGTAGGCTTCATTGAGGTCATGTGTTACTTGCGCCGTACTGCCATGCCATGCTCCACTTGAGGTGTTGTAGCCAAACTTCGTAAGGCCTGCACTTCTTTGCTGTTTCTTTGCTTCGAGCAGAAGTTGGCTCCGCGCTGCTGCTTCGTGTGCAACGGGAAGTGTGTTGGGCGGAGTCGTGCATCCACTTACAGTTCTCCCAGTACCTGCAGCTCAAGCCTAGCCGGGAACCTGATTTCGAGCAAATGGTAAAGCAAGATGACCCTTTTCCAGCGGAACATGAGGATCGTCGTCAAGAAAGGCTGCACATTATCATCCCCTACTCAAACCAAGGACCCGGGCATCCGGAGCAGCGATCAGCTACTGTAGGATCCGTGTGGCCTTCTAATGCTCCGTGCAGGATTTGTGTGTACTTGATGTGCATCAACCTTGTCTAGAGGGTAGTCCTAACATAGTCTGAGTGTTCATCATCATGGGGATGAGGCGGTGTTTCACCACAGCAGCAAGTGCTTCATCACACCGCTGACTGTACGGAGTCCTTGCCTAGGTGCGACAGATGGGCCCTGGCCCCAGCGGCAGCTTCTTTTTGAGAGCTTCTGCAGGGTCTAAGCCGGAGGACTTTGTGAATTAGGGTGTGAGTGCTTGCATTTGAGGGTTGATGCTTTCAGGCTCCCAACACAAGGAGGAATTCCCCGCCAAGGGTGTTGTCTTGGAGCGGCGGGCCCGCAGGTCGCATAGAGGAGTTCCTGAAGGCTTTCCATCAAAGGGAAAATTACATGGAACATGAAACTGAATTAGGGGGCCTTAAAACAGGCAATCCGGGGCCAGGGCAGTATGTATACACATTTGTGTATGTATATATATATATATATATATACCACGCACATATACAAGTTCAAACCGGAAATAGCAAAGCAAACTGCTAGGCTGATACAGGGAGTATTATAACATCAGGATCCATTCCTTCATTCCTTGCCAACCAGAGGTAGGTTTCGCCATACTTCGGCTCACACAGCATGGGCCCCATTCTGTTCTAGCTAAGGGACTACATAGAGTGTTTAGCCCGGGGCTCATGCACAACAAAGGCCTACACCAGGCTTTTCTCTCTTGCCCGGGCCTGTTGGGGGGTGTGGTATCTCTGCGAAAAATCCTCGGCAATGTGACAGTGTGGGGTGAAACTTCGATTCCCACGAATCTACCCTGAACCTTCTACCTGCAGCCTGAGCCCCAAGCCTAAGCTTTAAACCCCAAATTGCACAACAACCTCCTGCAGCTTGGTATGCTGAGGTTATTCATCCTTCCTGGCAATCCCCGGAGAGAGGGTGCCGCGAAACGTCCGAGCCACGGGCATGCCTGCGAGATACCCGTAGCTGGAAGTAGGGCCGGGATTTCAGGTTTAGGGGTTTAAGGTTCAGGAGCTTGCAGGTTATCTAACTAGCGAGCATTCGAAGAAGTGTTCGCACAAGTTACTGCATCGTGTGTTGTTACGATATGCAACTCGAAGCTGCATGTCTGGAGCAATGACCCTTTCTATTCGTTCATGTCGTAGCATCTCAACTTGGAATTGAGCTGCCGTGTTTCGCCAGAATGGACCTGGCACAAATGCTCGACTGCGCAATCTGGCAGTGCAAGACGTTTTCGTTCTATGCTTATTCTATAAGCCATCCGCGCAGACCCAAATGTGTTTCCGGCCTGGTAGTCGGCTTGCCTTGGACCCTTATCGGATGCTCTACAGGGAAGTGGGTCAAGGAGGTTACACCCTGAACTCCGAACCTTAAGGATAAGGGTTTAGGGCTTAGGGTGTTTAGCAAGTACACCTCTGGTACATGCACAGCTGGCGAATTAGCCACATTTGTACTGTGAGACTTCCTAATCTGGGTGTCTCAAAATAGGATCCCTCCACCATCCTCCACCCATCCGCAGACTACCATCGAGCGATCAAGGAAGATTTTATTGGATCGCCATACTACTAGTCCTAACAATCCGTTGCGTCAGACCTTGTTACAAAACCCCAATCCTAAACGGAGCCCCCAACCCGAGGTGTACTACGATCCCCTTCGAAACCTGATAGGAGCCACGAACCCGAATGCAGTTGCGCGCCCGATACTCGCCTCCCCCACACGACCTGTGGAGTTCCCCCTTAGCTTGCTTGCGACCAGTGGAGTTCCACGCTTGCCCGATTCGAACGCCGTGGGGACGCGCGCTTTTTGGAGTTCCCCCTTGTAGCAGCCCGAAATCAGACACTTGCGGACGCTTGCGAACGCTTGCGAACTTGTGGAGTTCCCCCTTAGCTTGCCTGCTTCGAACGCCGTGGAGTTCCCCCTTAGCTTGCCTGATTCGACCGCAGTGGAAGATTGCGTTTCCCGCGCGCGACCTGTTGCCCGCCTGTTGCGAACCTGTGGAGTTCCCCCTTAGCTTGCCGTGGAGTTCCCCCTTAGCTTGCCTGATTCGACCGCGGTGGAAGATTGCGTTTCCCCCGCGCGACCTGTTGCGAACCTGTAGAGTTCCCCCTTAGCTTGCCTGATTCCAACGCCGTGGGGACGAGCGTCCTGTGGAGTTCCCGCTTAGCTTGCCCGATTCGAACGCAGTGGGGACGCGCGTCCTTTGGAGTTCCCCTTTATAGCAGCGGGAAATCAGACACACGCGAACGTACGCGGACGCTTGCGAACGCTGCGCACGCATTTCGCGTCAACTCCTAACCCGCAGACCCCCAACCTTCAAACGAGAACCCTTCTGCTGCGCATTCGGGAAAGAGTAGGAATCCTGTGTGAGCCTTTGTAGAACCCCTTCAAGGAGTTTAGATTTTAACTCAACTCCAACCTCAAGATGTCAAGCCGCTGCCCAGGTGACGGCGCAAGTGGTCATCGGCACACCGGGCAAGGTGCAGGCAGGCGGCTGTTCTATCGCATTTCGGGTTGATGGGTAAGGGCGTTATGGGATTAATTATATTTACTAACGAAAGAGCTTACTGGTCCCCATAAACGCCCGAACACCCCCGAAAGCGTATGCTTGACGCTGGAAAAATGCTCACACTGCAAACCTGGATGTGCACAAAGGTTCAGGGTTTGGGGCCTGGGGTTTTAGCGTTAAGGGTCCAGGGTTTAGCTTACATGTGTCCAGTTTGCCAAGGGGCGCTGAGATCCTTGATGACGGCTAAGATTTCACTGACTTTCCATATCACCAGGAACCTTCTATCTTTGAACATGAATGCATCGTACTTGCCGTTGCCATCCACACTGCTGTGAACCTTCTCGCTCATGAGGGTGGCGAGGTTTGTTGATCCCTTAACAAGGCTGCTAACTTCATGGTTCTTCTGCCACGTGAGATTTTTCAGTCTGCCTGGAGTCGCTGGCAAAGCAAATGGGAAGTACTAACTAAGCATCAAGCGCATCGAGGTCTTGTTCAAAAAGAAGCTCTTGCGGGACTCGAGGGCGTTGATGATCGACGACGATCTTTGCCTGCAGCTAATCGTGTTTACAGTTTGGTTGGAGTCAGGGCAGGGATCAGATGGTGTAGGCTGCGACTATGAGGCTGGAACTCCGAAGAAGCCAGAGAAACTCAAAGATCGATTTCCATCCTGAAAGAAGTGGACAACAAAAAGAAAGTTTCAAACACATCTAAGGAAACCTGATAGGACCAACGAGCCCGAAGTCTTTTGCACTCCTGCTCGTCTCCTGGTGCTCTTGGGCTGGTCTCCTGGTATCTCCCCGTGCCCTCTTGCTGCTCTTCAGCTGGTCTCCTGCTTGATCATCGTCGTGGTCTTGCACTGTTCGGGTCTATGCCGGCAATATCCTAATTTTTGCTTCCCTTGCTGATTAGGAGTTCAGCCTCATAAGGCTGTGGGAGGGGTGCCGCCGCCTTTAACCACAGCCCTACACTCTTAAACTCAGTGCAAAAACCAGTGGAACAGAAGAAGACTTTGTGGCAGACCCTTAGACCACGTTTGCCTCACACCTGACCCCGATTCAGAAGCTTTAAACAACCGCCCTGTCCCTGTGAACAAAGCTCAGTCTAGGCGAAGGTGCCCCAGATGCTGCCTAAACGGCCTGTACTGCGCCTTAAGCCACAAAAAGGCTGAACCCTGTGACAAAACCAAACAGTTACAATGGTACCCGCAACCTCTAACCTTCAAATTCCATGCCCTAAACCCTAGTCTCCTGCACGCCTACCCGTTAGGCCGTAAATCCAAAACTTCTGAGCCCAATCCGCAGGCTGAGCACCTCGAAGGCAGCATGATGGCACAGGCCTGTCATGCCTGTCATGCGCTTTCTCTGAAGAAAAAACAAACAAGGGTTCCTTGACCCCTGGTTTGAGTGTTCCGCTTCGTACATGAATCCAGGCTACACTCCGGATTAAGTGGGTGAGTGGACAGATCTCTCAAATCTAGTCAGAAGCCATCACGTGCCACTTTGGTGTAGCTTGTATGGAGCCCTCATGGACTACAAACCCTATACTGAAGGCTTGATGCCACCTGCAGGTGCTGGACATCCGCCTGAAGCTTCCAAAGGACCTGAAGGCCAGGGAGAGCGACTACTGCTTTCCTGCAACCACCTCAACTGCCTAGCTACTTCTGCTTCTGCTGCTCTTACTGCAGGAAGTTCTCCTACTCCTCTTACTGCAGCTGCCACTACGACGACTACTGCGGCTAATACTACGGGGCTTAGTAGTAGTTCTGGAATGAGTGACCATCAGCACATTGGAACAGAATGGAGCTTCAGAAAGATTCCGACCCCTTAGGAGAAGGGCACTTCCAGTACGTATCAGCTGCAGTGTGGCTGCCGTGTGCTAGAGACATTCAGGTATTTCTATGAGCCCTGCTTTAAACGATGAAGCCTTCAGGGCACAACCACCGGGGGTTCACTTTAAAGGAATGAATTTGAGGGCCCTCGAAGTGTGGTCTCTATAGCGTTTATCGCAGACCGTCATCGCCAAGGGCAGGCTAGAAGCGCTAAGAGGTAGATGATATAACCTCCCACCCAGCGTGCAGATACAAGATCATGGTGGGAGGCATAGTGCTCTGTTGCACTCTCAAGGTCTAGGGCCAAGGGATTTCCGTGTGTTCAGGTCTGAAGATTAGAGACCGAGCCATTGTTTCGGTGTATGCACACATGACGACACAGTGCAAGATCGAAGGCGCAGCGCTGCCGGATCTATGTCACTTCCTGGAGTAACCCTAAATGATCACCTAACCTGCATGCCCCCCAACTCAACAGCCATAAACCCAACACCCTCGACCCTAAAACCACAAACAGCAATCCATGAAATGCCAAACATGTATCGCCATCCCTTCAAGAAACGGCAGGTTCATGCAAGCACATCTGTATCTGTAATTCCGCTCTATACACGCAGGTGCCGTGGTGCACAACTTGCAGTAGAGATCCCGAAAACTCGGAGCAGCGAGCAGGGAGACCTCCCCGAAAGTACAAAATATCCAGTATTTTGCATGCTTGAACGTGGGGGGCTGAGACCCAAACGATCGGGACCGTCTTAAGTCTCAACGAGAAAGAGCCCTTTTACAGTAGTGGTGGATGCAGGTCATTGATATGAGGGGAAAGGAGGAAGCGTCAGCCAGGTTGGTTTCTTCGCCACGACCTGGTCCCACGACCTTGCAAAGCTCTCGAAGCCACAGCCCTGACTTTTCTTCTTCCTGGGGTACAGATCCTTAGGAGAAGAGTCCTCAAGATTCGCCTATGAAGCTACAGCTTCAAGAGCAGGATCCTTCAGTTCCAAATTCTTGACCCGAAGCCGTGTTCGATATGACATAGTCGAGGTCGATGGTCTCCAACCCCAGCGTGATCACAGCCCGGCGCTTGGAAACCATAGACCCTAACCCAAACACCAGCAGAAACTAACCCGTCTAAACCTTTATTAGCTCCTAGCCGACACCCTCCCACACCCCTGAGACCTAAAGCCTGCGCTGAAGAGGTGTGTTGTGGTTTTTGTGTTCACACATTGTGAGGACCCAGATGGATATCCTCTTTACTTCTTTCTTCATGTACTTGCAGAGACTCTCAGAGCAATTGTTTCAGGCTTCAGTGTGTGAGGCTGAGCACGTGGCTTTGATGAAAAGCTGAAGACAATCACGCACCGCACAGCAAAAAGTTTGGACCCCTTGAAACCAGTAGATAGGTTCAGCAACGGAGCACTGGAAGCTTTTCAAGCGTTGGTCACACTACCCAGCGGCACCAGTTGCCGTGAATTTAGACATTGGCTTCAACTACCTCACAGTAGGTAAGGAACGTTGTTGAATTCGTATGCTTTACCAGGAAGGAAGAGGATCTTGCTGGGGTGAGCCAGAACTGCAGGCCATGAACCCTTAACACTCAACCTCATTAGACGCTCCATTCTAAACCCCGGGTCAACTCCTGCATCTCGTGCCAGGAGCTCACATCACCAACTACTTCCAAGCCCAAGTCAAGCCCTTGGCAAACCAGACATTTTGCATTGGAAAGCGGATTCTTGTGGGCAGTTGCCTCAAGCGGTTGGCGAGAGAAATGTTTCAAGGATGATTTTGGGATGTCGGCTCGGGGCTATCAAACGCACAGCAACGCCTGAGGTGGCCGGGCGCTGCTGCCTGCGAATGTTCTCTGAGGCCAGACTTCTGTGAAGGATTTATTTGAGATTTGCCTTGCATGTCTTGTGCTTTAACTTGAATCTTTTTCTTTGCAGGAAGGCTTTGGGCTTAGGATTAGCTGGAGCTTCCGCCATGTATCAAGCAAAAGTATTGGGCTTGACATGTGTGAAGTTCCCAAAGCCTGGGCAGCTAGCACCCAAAATGCCGAAGGCCCTGCATGGCAGGAACCTGTCGAACAGTGGACCAAATGACCAAATCCCTTACCTCTGTCCTGTCCAGAAACGAAACCCGGAACTCCAATCCCTAGCTGTGCGTCAATCATGCAAGCGACCAGACCCTTGACCCTAAACCCCAGGCATCGGCGACCAATGCATCCATGTCGGGCCTTGCTTTCGAAGCAGTGATGCTGAAACGCGCCAACCTGCAGTGCAGGGGGACACCTGAACGACACCTTGCAAACGAGTAGTTTTGCTCAAGGCCAAGTCCCTCACCCTAAACCCCAAAACCATTGAATCCTAACACTTCGAGTTTGGGTTCGGGACGCTGGGTCGAAACTTCGCAACCTTGAAAGCAAGGGTTAAGGCCTCGAGGCTGGAAATGCAGTTGGCGGGAGCCCCCATTTTCGGGCTTCTTTTTGGTGTCGAAGGCGAGAAGCCCGGCACCCCAAGAAGGCCTAACGCCCCTAAGGCCCAGAATCCTGAACCCAGGACTCCGGAGTGGCAAGGCCATTTGGGGGGGGGGGGGGGGGGTTGAGGCTGTGTTTAGGGCTGAGAGTGTAAATTGGCCAGCATTATGAATGCCTCTGCATTACATGCAAATACAGGCAGAATGCAATGTTCTGGTTGCAGGGCTTGCTTTTGCCATACTGGATATAGTTTACTTATCTTGCAGCCGCCTCCCTCGTGATTTGCTTTCTCTCCCATCATCATCATATCGTCAATCTTCAATTCATGACTGTGAT